GAGTGGATTCATTTATACCAACAAAATCCTCCTGTTGTAGCCAAGTTTCTGTCAGACACAATAAATCAATATGATGATCAGTTATCAGTTCATTAACTAACAGGGATTTAGAGGAAAGAGATCTGATGTTCAATAATCCACATTTAATGATTTGATGATTTTGCTCTGGTAAAGTAACTGTTTATTTTAATCAGATTTTTATGGTTTACATTTTAAAGCTGATTTTTGGTTTATTTAATTTGAGCCGTGGGCGAGTTGACACTGTTTCAATGTGGGTGTGGGTGAGTAACAGAGGAGAAGCAGCAGAGAGGTGGAGGACTACAACTCTGCTTCCTGGACTGGACCCTGGGTCGTCAATAATTTGGGGGATAAACAAAATCAGCCATATTTCTAGAAAGAAGAGCGGCTCCATCCAAAGTGGGATGGATGCCATCTCTCCACATCAGACCAGGTTTTCCCCAGAAAGAACTCCAGTTATTTATGTACAAGGGCGTCAGAAGCATCCATAATGTGGGGAGGACACAATGATGTGTGTGTGCGCGCATGTGCACATGTGTGTGCACGTGTAAAAAAATTGTACACTAGTGTACAAAAACAGCAGCATTTCACCTAGAATTCCTTTAATTCCATTTAAAACGTGTTTCTCACCAAGTTTGTGTAAATTCAGCTGTGGGTTTTAAAGACATTTTAACTTTAATACACTTTAATACAGAGCGTCAGGTCGGCATTATTTGTGTTTATGGAGAAATAAAAAAATCATCACCACTAGACTTGTTTTACTTGTGTTCAACACTCCTCATCTAAATGATGTTTCTCATGAAGCTTGAGGACAATATGGTGTGGGGTTTTAAACACATTTCAACTTTAATGCACCTGAACACACAGCGTCTCTTCCACCTGCAGCGTCTCACAGCGTCACAGTTACTGCTAAGCTAAGATGCTACGTAGCGCTCCTCTCGCATCCTCCTAACCATGTGCATATGTTTATGATCAACACCACGGTCAAAAATTGCCCGCACTAAGCTAGCTAAACTGGCGAGCGATCAATACAGATGTGTCTCCATCTCCTCCACCTGTGCACGTTTTCTGCTGAGGCAGGAGGAGATGCACAGAAACACCACTGCTGCTGAGTGGAGAGTTGGAGGTAACCAGGAAAACCTGGAGTGGAGTTTTAGTGGTTTGAGTATTCTCCTATTAATCAAGTGGAATGGATTTGTTCATGAAAACAGAAACTAATGTTTTATAGTGAAAGTGTGTGTGTGTGTGTGTGTGTGTGTGTGTGGGGGGGTCCAAATGAACTTTTTTTTATTGTGTCCCCTTCACATATAATGGTTGCGACGCCTATGTCTACGTACCCCACTTCGTTATCAGACCAACATCTGGACACCCAGCGGTTAAATGATGATATACGGCTACATGTCATCGCTGGTCAGGTTAAAACATTCTAATATGATTTTTTAAAATCAAATTGAAGCCATATTGAATTTTGAAATGTGACTTTTGTTTACATACTTTGTAAAAAAAAAAAAAAACAACAACACATTTTGTGGTTTCTAAAAACAAATCTCCATGTCCCAACAGGTGGAGCCCACATACAGCCTTACAGCAGATGGCAGCCAGAACCTCAGAACTACAATACTAAATAT